CCAATACTTAAGTACAATTTGTTTATACTGTATGTGACTTGTGAAATAAATGGTTTGAATTTCAGTTTCCGTTTGGAAAAGCGCTCGGCAAAAAAACGCTCCTTACATCGCAGACTTATTCATACGTACCGATGTTAGGTGCTGGTTGATTGTTGATACAGCAAATTTGTTCGCCGTCTCACTCGACGCCGGGATTAGCCTGTTTTTCTACTAAAGATAACAGTTTTATCTTGCTGAATATTAATTACGTGTGTTTGGATTGCGAAATAATATCCCATTGTGAAAGTCTTGGCGTCTGAGTCATGTTGCCGCGATGAGATGAGAACTTCGGGACATTTTGAGATTGACTTGAAAATTGGCAAATTTATATTGCACTAGCTGTGTCAGCGACTGCGTCCGCGTAGAATAATTATTTTGGTCATCCAAATTTGTCAGTCGCGTCCCATCGTTCTTGCCAGTTAATCTCAAAAGTTAGACATATATTTATTATTCTTTAGTTCATATAAAGAGGAATCATATTTTCATTCATATTTTTTTGGTATCTTGAAGTTTTCTCTACGCAAAAGCTAATCATTCTTCACGTTTTCGACGTTTTCCACGTCATTTTCACCAGGTTTAACATTTATCTAATTAATTTTTAATTTGTTTAGATCTGGAAATATTAAATTTCGTCCAAAGTCCAAGTTCAAAAATATTATGGGCTAAGGTGGCCTAGTGACAAGTAAACAGCTTGTCTTTCCTCCATTTACAAATTTAATAACTTTACCCGAATATATCTAATTAATGAATAAATTATGTTTACAAATTAAAACTTCGTCATTCATCTTAGTTCGCATGACCTGTAGGTATCCTTGTAAAGTAGGTGTGTATTGTTAAAATTCTCAGAAGAACAAAACCGTAAAATCAGAACATTTTAACGACGTGGCCTCGATGCAAATCCAACATGGCCGCCGTCTTATCGCCGCCATGTTTGCGGAGGTCGCGCGCTGCTGCGCAAGAGTTTGTTTAATGTGGACCTGTTTTAAAAAGGCCTCAGAATGTAAATGAGGACATTAGGATTATATTGTTTAAGTAATTAAGCGTTATGTCTTTTATTCACTGGTATACTATATTCGTTGCACGTATTGGTATTTTTAAATGGCTGAATTTTTTAAATTGTTTTATTGTTATTACTAAAATATGTAACCATCTCTTGAATAATATTCGTTAATATAATTTCGTATTTACTAAATATGTTTTAAAGCTATTGTTATCAGTAGGTTACCCGTCGACCTGCTTTCACCAGCATGGCGTGACCTGCTCATCAAAGTCATCAATTTTCTTGTCTCGACTGCCTCGTATAGGCTTCGAACGGCGTTGCGAAGGGATCTACTATGTAGTGGAAAATTTTAAATACGTTTCAAAATTACATACATAAGAAATAATTTATTCACGTAGGTAACTAGGTATACTTAGACAACTTTATGCCGTTATATCGATTTTATATGCCGGAAAACAAAGCCCAGTGCAGAATCATTGATTCCGTTTATACTTGTTAATTAATTGCCTGTAGATAAAATTCTATCACTGACGTAAGTTCGTAGATTGTTTGTCCTATTCCTCTTAATCTGACCGCCTCCGTTGTTGTATTGCTTTAAACGCGAGAGGTCCTGAGTTCAAGCGCATGGAGACAATAGGTTGTTTTGGTTGGGCAGGGCAGATAAGTCAGATCAACGATGTACTTGCCTCTTAAAGAACCGATCACTGAAATGGGCGCAGAAATGCCTTCGCCCCATGTCCCACTCGTGGAAAAGAGTATTACACATACATATTGTTGAGAAATGCCAATTCTGCTCAAGGATGTTAAGATGCCTTAAAACACAGTCATTAAATTCGGGTGGAGTGAGCGAAAGGTCGTATTGGGCCAGCTAAATATATGCTCAACACACAAACACACAATTTATGTACTCAGCGCACACAAGCCGGCTTGCATAGAAAATATTTGGTAACACAGCCAATGTAATCCAAGGCGTTTGCCTTGATATACTAAATATACATATTTATTAACCGTTTATTTTGGGAATTAATTCGGCTTTCGGATATTTAATTACTATTCGTGACTCAAACTGTTTTGTGGTTATATGTTTTTTATGACACGGGAGGGCAAATGGGAGAATATGGGTTATATATATCAGAAGATGTGTTTTTGATCGCTGCTTTGGATATTCGGAAATCCACAGACTGAGACTCATTTTAGACTTCCAGGCGTAGTCTAACATGCCTATCAAAGTCTACGAAAGACATTACCATAACTTTAGTCCTTTACGAGTATTTAAGTGACAAGTACCTTACGCGAGCAGTACACATTCAAATAAAACTCTTCAATGGTTTTAACGCGAATTGTGTTAGTTACATTTATTTACAAATTATTTTAACTACTACCTGACGTATCAGATGCAATAGCTTCGCAATAGCTGTTGGTCACTGGTGGAGCCGTCTGAAGGATCCGAAACGTCGGATATTAGTGACAATAAATGAAATATTAGTTAACTCATATAGTTTCCGTTTTAAACCGTTGAAAGTGTTTAATCACGGTGGCCACGGCTGCTGCAAAGCTGCTGTTAAATCGTTAAATTGCTCTCTTTAATTAGTATACTTATACCTAAATAAAACTTCAGCAAGTTTACTGGATATTTTATTGTAATAATAAAAATTACAGTAAACATTTAGATAAAATTATTAAAATATTCACTTAAATTATATAAACAGAAGGCTATGTTGAATTAACTGCAAAGACTAAATTGCGTCAGAGAATTCTATTTTCGTGTTTGTTCTTATATCCACGCGAAGTAGTTATGTACATAGTAATGATAGCGTATGTGCGCAATAAATAATGCCTCTACATTCACGTTATGATAAACCTTGTTGACAGTCGCATGTTTCAGGCTAATTACGTACTTGTGTACGGAACCCTAAAAATGAACAACATTCAGCGAGGACGTGACACTAATTATTTAATGGAGTGCACAAAACTACATAAATGTTAATAACTACATTAAAGTAGTCGACGTAAATATAGTATAATAGATTTGACGGTTTAAAACGCAATATTTATTAGTAAAACTAATTTTTACTACGACAAGGACCTATCGGATGCTTTATAGGAGCCAGGTCGGCGTGGTACATAGTTATGGATAAATTAACATAATTTAAACCGTTAAAAATATTTATTCAACTCAAAATTCTGATTTGGAAGTACTTAACATATGTAGATCGCGTTTCAACCTGTTCAAATTAATTCCTATCCTAAAATAATTTAAAATGAAATAGCTTTATTTTTTTATTTATTTATGACTAAAGTAGACATCATTTACGTAAAAGTTGATGTATATGAACCGTCTCAGTATAAGTTACCGGTGACTTATAAGTCATGATGTAAATAAATACTGGTCAAAGCCTTTTATTATTCTGTTATCAGTTCAAATAAGCAAATATATTTAAAAAATGATACCATAACACATACATTTATCACTAATATTTACTTTAATACTACAGTAGACTACACTATTTGACGGAATCATCGGTGCAATTCGTTCGTGGTCAGTTCCAAAACAATAATAATTGTCAAACATACTAGTCTCCATCTGGAAGATCTGGATATTAAATGGATGTTAATAATATCCAATTCTGTCCGGTCACGGGAAACCGTTCACAATTTTGCCCGGTCACGGACAACTTACCACATTTAAGCTGTGTAAATCTGCGTCTTGGTTCCAGTTATTTCAGAATGTTTACATCCAAATTAGGTCAACAGGGCATCTTAGACAACATAGGTAATGGCTGTGATGCTTGTATTAACCCTCTGTCACAAAAAATATCACCTTTTCGTCGACGCTTACGCAATCCAATGACATTTGTGTCATTAAAAGCACAGTTAAAAACATTTTCAATATTTACAGCGCAAACCTGACCGTGACCTTCGTCAGGTTCAGCATTTGATAACTAGAGTTAATATTGGCAGCGCACACCACCCGTGTTTGACGAACGCTCAACTCTATCAATATATAAACATAATATTTATATTTGCCGCTTTTCGTTCTGCCACTTGTAATGTGTCACTGAAACTGATAATTTCGGCAATTTGGGACCGGTGGCTAATTGTTCTTTGAGCTGATAAGATCCTAGCTACTCGGTAGCTCAGTTGGTAGAGCAACAGCACGGAACGCTGACGATGCCGGTTCAAGTCCTGCCCGAGTCGAAATGTTTTTCAATTTAGTTTCGATTTTTAAATATCCTAGATTTTTATATTGATAGTTTGATTAAAATTCCATATAACGATAATCGCGTGTTTGTAATTTATGCGAGTAATACACGTGTGAAAAAACAATTTTAACGATTTAAAACGTGAAAGATATTGATTTACGCTTGGCCGGTATTAAGAACCTATAATGCGTATATAATATCTACCTACTTTACTGGCTTTTAGAGAAGTGGGTAATACTTTTACTATTTGTCAAAAATTATCTTAAACATATTTAAATTTATTTAAATTTTAAATTCAACCTCTTTTGATATACATATTAGACCGATTAGTTGTCCTTTAAATTTCGTCAATAAATTTTATATATAGACAAATTAAATGGTTTTAATACGAAAACATTAGTTAATATAACTACGGCCCGACGTAGTTAAATTACTTTTAACAGTTTCAATCGTTAACTATGTTAGTCAACTTATTTGTAATTTAATATAACTACGCCCCGACGCGGACATCTTGGATGCTCCCAATCTAGTAATTTAATTGAAAATAAATTACGTATTATATTTGACTTTTTAAACCGTTAAATCTGTGTGTGTTCTTGCCTAAACTACAGCCAATCCTTTGTTACTAATATTTTTTATTCAAGTACTTTCTTATTATACCTACATATATGAAGTTCAAGTTTTAAACAGTTATTTGTGTTTATTTAATCCCTTTACGTCATATATATAAGAACTCTTCTTCATAAGGTTTATAACCGTTATGCCAGGAAGAAGGCACCAATAAGAATTTTCGAAGATTGGATAATTTCCCAGTATTCTTCATGAGTCGGTTCCACATCAGCGGTGTTAATGAATCGAGTGGGTCTCCGGACTGCACAAATTATCAGCTCTGATATAATGTAGCCCTCGGGTATCCTTTTATATTTGGTGCCTTGTTCACACTTGACAATGTCGCTAGAATAGAACAAATAATGATGAGAGAATTTATGACACATTACAAAGTTTGTTTCTACGAAAGTGTAATGATATGAAGCTGTTGACTCAATTAAAAAATATTTAGAAATCTGTCTTTAAAACAGAAAGCGCATCTTGTTTAAATGTTATATGGCAATATTGATGTTATATTAAAAAAAACAAAGTGATTAAGAATTAAACTATCTATTTACTATGAAATAAATATTTCCAAGCAAACACTTTTGCCGCGGCTGCTACAAAGGATTCGAAATGTAGGGCCACAGTTACAATATATTAAAAATAATTTAAATAACACGAGCCGCGTTCTAAACCATTAAAAGAGTGTATTTTAAATGTATTTTTGCCTCGTTCCTTTTTTTTTACTCACTCTCCAGGCTCGCCTCAGTTGGACCATTCAAACATAGCACCATCGCCAAAAGCGCAAGTCCGATGTTTGAGTTTTCAATTCATGTCCGCAAGATTCATGTAACACACCGAAGCTAACTGATATTTATTTAACATGTGCGTAATTGATACTACCTGAGTGTCGTACGTTGAAAAGGTATTTAGGTACGCGAGCGGGTCACGAACCTATGGCCACAACGTACCGTTAATATGATTTCAATTAAATACTGTTTATAGTTTACGCGAGTAGTACACATTTAAATAAAACACTTTAACGGTTTAAAACGCGATATATTAGTTAAACTTATTTGAAAATATTTTTAACGACGACGTCCGACGTTTCGAATGCTTCGCAGCAGCCGCGGTCACGGGGAGACTCAATTTTCAAATAAGTTTAACTAATATATCGCGTTTGAAACCGTTAAAGTGTTTAAATGATTTCAATTAGTATTTCGATTCGAACATCATTATCGTATGTAAGTAATCAACTCACAACGTATGTACATTGAAAGAAAACTAACTGTTAAAAACACGAAAAATATTTGTTGTTAATTTCATTTATTGTTAATAAGACTCCGATGATCTACGGCAACACATCCGAAAAGAGGGGTCGAAACTAAAATTTGTTTTTTTTTATCATGGAAGAGGCCAGACAGTGGGGGTCACTTGATGGTAGGTGAAATATCCCGGCTATATAATATCATTTAAATAAAACACTTTAACGGTTTAAAACGCGATATATTAGTTAAACTTATTTGAAAATTATTTTTAACTTCCGCCCGACGTTTCGGATGCTTTGCAGCAGCCGAAATCAATCATTTCCAAATAAGTTTAACTAATATATCGCGTTTTAAACCGTTAAAGTGTTTTATTTAAATGTGTACTACTCGCGTAAGCTATAGACAGTATTTATATAATATCTTATTCAAATGCGCTGTCAACATGTTTTGTCTTTGAATATTTAGAAACACATAGACTGAAACCGAAAGGCGATTAGCTTACACTTTTTCATCTGTGGACGGTGGTTCGTGATCTGGACGGAATTTTGATATTCCCACCCATTTAATCCAGATTTCCACACGTCAAAACGTTAAATTTTGAACCCGGTGGATATAGAACCCGCGACCCGTTAATTACTACCGTTACAGTAGCCCGTCCAAGTTTAGCTTTAGTCATTTCGATAAAACTAAACTAAACCAAACAATAAATACCTTTCCTATAGGTCATCATGCAAATGACGCATTTAGCCAAAGATAATTTACAATCCTTGTGTATATATAAATAAAAAATTAGACGAAATAATTTTAAACATGTGATATAACAAGCGTTAGGCGTTAGTAATCCGTCGTATGCGCAAGATCAAACACAATGTGCGATATCCAATAATTATGTTTACTGAAAATGTTAGATCCATATTGCACGAATCTTCACGGACAGGTGGAAAATTACATATGGAAACATAAGCTCTTGTTAACACGGTCTTGACAAACGTTTTGCCCTTAAAACTTGGTGTCTTTGGCGTTGTGTAGGCTTTTACATCTGAAGCAATGCTGGGCCTTTTTTATTTAATAGAGATACCTTTGACTTTATGCTGTTGTTGAGTAAACGAAAAAATTTTAACATTATTTTGAACAACTTCTTCGGAATCGGATCTGGCAATGATAATAACACCGAGTAACGTTACTAGTACTTTTATATCTATTTTGTTAAGTTGTCGCTTGAAAGAAACAAATAAAGGTAGGTATATAACAAAGCTAACCTAATTTTTATGATTAAAGATTCTTTTGCAAGCAGAATGTTTTATTTAAGTTATTTCTATTATATACATTTAAGGATCACGTACTTAGTATATTTATTTTAACTAAAAAAATATGAAATTAAACTATAGCATTAATGTTATAAACATATTTTTTTTTAATTTAAAGTGAAATCCCGTTTTTCCCACGTAGGGCATGGGGCAAACATATTTTTGCGTCCGTTTCCCCGACTGATTTCTGATCTTTTATGAGCGATTACAAAATCAAACTGCTTGTGCCCCACCAAAGCAATTTATTGTCGAATCCAGGACCTGTCGCGCCTAACGTAACATTGGCATGTTTAACCATTTGGCTACAAAGGCAGTCGTTATAAAATATCTTAATACAATATTTATCAATAAAATGCTTGTAAAACATTCACTATTTACCAGTTTACCACTCACAGTTGTTTTTTTTTTTCATAATTTAAGAGAACAGGAGTTGACACAGGAGATGACAGCGTATATATAATCATAGATAATAAAGCAATTAAAACATTATCAATGAACAAACAACAATATATAGAAGTGACGTATTGAATCAGTTTGAATGAATTTGTCAAGTCTTAACATTGTTTTGCCAGTAAATAATACTGCTCGTGTTTAACTAGATCAATATTTAGTATTTGTCTATTTTTTGATCCCTGTAATACCTCGGTAATTGAAAGTGTTTGCGAATTAAACACTTATAAGAGAATAATGTGATTTGATTAACTTTTTTTTAATAGTAGTAGTTTATGCGACTAGAACACATTTTAAATTTAACACTTTAACGGTTTAACTCGTCGAAATTTAAGTACTGTCTTCGGGGGTTCCTCCATGACCACGCTGCGTCAAAATCTTCCTAATACCTACTTAGTACTTAAATAAGAATTTCATTTTTTTTAATACGATAATACGTCTGAGAAAAGGAAGCCACTCAGCTACGTTGGGACTAAAGTCCTAACACTATTATTCTGTCCCTATATATGATAACGATCTTAAGAACATGTGAAATTGAGAAAACTTTTTACGTAGCTTTTTCGCTTGACATATATTGTCTTTTAAATAAAACACTACAACGGTTCAAAACGCGATATATATTTAATTCAACGACGATTCAAAAAAGATATATATATAATTCAACTTATTCGAAATATATTATTTTTTTAACTACGGCCCGACGTTAAGGATACTTTGCATCAGGTGTGGTCAAGGGGAAACGTCGGGCCGTAGTTAAAAAAAAAATAAGTTAAAGTGTTTTATTTATACGTGTACTACTCGCGTAAATTACATACATTATATATTGTCTTTTTTAATTATTAATTGAACGGAAAATTCCACGAAGCCATCAAATGATTTATCTAAGATAGCAGTCAGTCTCGCTATTTATCTTGACATTACTAGATCAATCCTGGACGTCACTTCCATCACTCATAAATTAATGTCATCTAGACCGCGTGATGCTGCCACAGATAATATCTTCAGTTTTTAATTACTCTGATTACTAATGATTGGTCTTTGATAATATTTCACGTGATATTTTATATCAAAACAGTGATACTAAGATTACTTACCTACAATGTTGCTTCCTAGGTACATTAATTGTCTCCAAAAATAGTCACCAAGAGTCCTCTTAAATACTGTCTGTAGTTTACGCGAGTATTACATTAAATAAAACACTTTTACCGTTAAAAACGCTATATATATTAGAAACATCGGGTTAAAACAATCTACAAATAAGGTTAAGTAAAATATATCGCGTTTTAAACCGTTAAAGTGTTTTATTTAAGAGTGCTCTTATCGCTTTCTTATTCTAGTCTTTAATGTCACTGTTATTACAATGGTTAAATTAATCTCCTCGTGACCACGGCTGCTGCAAAGCATCGAAACGTCGGGCCGAAGTTAAAAATCATTTCCAAATAAGTTTAACTAATATATCGCGTTTTAAACCGTTAAAGAGTTTTATTTAAATATGTATTTCGATTTATAATCGATTTTAATTCATTATTACTAAGTCCTATTACATCGCTATAGTCAAGCCATCAATGCAAATTCTTGTTTTACGAAGTGGGCCAAGAACCGGTCGTTTCTTAAGGCCCGGCTTTATTTGATTAACACTTAATTAGTGAACCGGTATATCACCTCGGAGTGAGTTTTTTCTACGGAAATCACGCGTTCCCATGGTTCTCGGGCTTGTTAGAACTTTAATCTCTAATAAAACGAGGGAAAGTGGTCGCTTGCTTTGAAAATTTGTACTAAATTTCGCTTTTAGCCAGTACAACTGTGTATTATTTAATGGTAGAGGAAGACAGTCAAGTTTACTTGATGGTAGGTGATAGACCCAGCCTATAGCATCAAAACAAGATGTGCTGTCGTCCTATTTTGGCTTTGGATGTTCAGAAATCCACAGGCTGCTTAAGCTTCACCGTGACAGACCGAATTTCTATATTCCTGCCACCCATTTAATATCCAGATTACCAGACGAAGTCCAAAATTAACAAACATCTTAGACCCGGTGGGAATCGAATCCGCAACTCATTGATTACTAGCCATACATTGCTACCATTAGACTAACAAAGCCCGTCAAAATACCTACAGAATATACCTAAAAAATTACCTTTAAATAAAATACTTTAACGGTTTAAAACGCGATATACCTATTAGTTAAACTTATTTGAAAATTATTTTCAACTTCCCTCTTCCCGTGACCACGAAACGTCGGGCCAAAGTTAAAAATCATCTTCAAATAAGTTTAACTAATATATCGCGTTTTAAACCGTTAAAGTGTTTTATTTAAATGTGTACTACTCGCGTAAACTATCTATAGACAGTATTTAAAAATTACCTACTTATACATAGGCTTAAATGCTTATATTATTATATTACGTATGTGATATTTTAATTTCTGAATCATATGAAATAATTTCTTATTTTATTTCCCTAAACATTAATTGAGAATCGATTGAAGAATAATTAATATAAATCTAAAATTATTATTACATTCATAAATCAATATATAAATAGTTACAGATGTTTCAGCTATATTCTCCTAGAATATTTTTACCCATTTGGGTTTAGTTATTTGTTGATATAACGGCAAAACGCAATGAAACTTCACAATGTGTGAAACTGTCACTGGTATCGGAACAGACAGTGTCTGTCCTGTACAGACAAACTGCGAAGTCATAGCAATATTCTGTCATAACCACTTCTGTCTGGAAATCTTGTAATAATAATCAATACATAGAA